CTAGTTCTTCCTTTCGATATGACTGAGTTGCGAAAATAAGGTTAAACAACATTATAAGATATTATTTTCACGTTCGTCATGGATTGCCACACATATGCTTATAAAGATCCACAAAAAGGAGGGATTTTCATTCTGCTTGTGTTGGTAATTCAACGCTTATGTAATAGCTTAATGACACATTTGTAGGACATATATTGAATACATTTCACAAATCCTTTTTTTATACTACCAATTTAAGCCCTCGGTTCTTTACAGTGTTTGGCAAAAATATTAATTTACCTCCAGATTTTAGGTGCTCCAAAATAAAAATATTGCAATAGGCCTTAAACGATCTCTATAAAAATTCTTACCTTTGGTTACTATGGTTGTAGGAAAAGAACCAGATTATAATGATTCTGCGTTTTATTTCTGGTTTATCTTGGTGAGATCCAATTTTTAATCATTGAAAATGAGATCCGATATTGCTGCTACTTCATCGTAGGTTGTTTCCTGCCAATAGATTCGTGTGCATTTTTGTTGAGGAAGGGATATAGTAGAGAAACAATATGATTCATAACGTGTGAATTGTTAAGATACCCTGTAGCGGTGGCTAACCTAGTGGAAAATCATAGGTAAAGGACTGATTGTATAGAACCTGACTGCTTCCATCGAATGCATGAAACAATACGGCAAAACCAAGGCCACATTTTTTACCTCTTCAAACCGGTTTTTTAAGCAGAAATTAAAACCAAAATGGTGTAGGCTTAGGCTCTGTCATAGTCTCCTTTTGCTCGATAGTGTTACTTTGACCTCGTTTTCTCACGTAAGCTGCCGACTACGATGCCGACCAAGTTAACGGTCTGATGACGGAAATTATTGGAGGGCGAAAAACTGGATTTATTCTTCGGTGAGTAGATTTTCGAGACTACCACTAAATCAGATATATGAGTTGTGTTCACCTAATTTCATTTAGGGTGAGCAAAACTCATTTATCTCCCAACTTTATCTAAATGATAGTCAGTTGATTCGCAATAAATTCGTGAAAATAATTCTTATCCAAGGTTTACTGATGAGATCCATCCAGCGTTTTGGTAGGAAAAGCTGAACGAAATTCAGTGGCAATGTATAATCTATTCACCTTATTGTGGGAATACTTAACTAGCAGTCCTTAGATCACCTTAAGCAACCTAGAGTGACAATGCTCTTAATTTGAACTTAATTTGCATCCAGTATGAAATTAGACTAGCTCATTTGAGCGGTGTCATATGGGGCTATCAGTGAGAAAAAGCGGAATATTTTTCTTCCTCTAGACCAGTGTGAAAGCTTCTCATCAATCCGAAATGAATGTGCTTATATTTAAATTGGTTTAAGTAAATAAAATATATTAACAACAAAAAGCATGAACTTGTATTTGCCACCACTTCGTATCTGAGCCCTCAGACTTGGTGTCCAGGTGTTAATTAGCATTTTGGGAAACACATGCTCATCAAGACTGGCATTGTGACTACAGGTACATAGACCAGTTGGCTAATTTGGCATACCCGGTCTTTTTGATTGGCCAATGCCATCCCTTTCCCTCATTTGTAGTTTTCCTCACTCGCCATCGCCTGATGAGTGGGTGTGTGTGGCAAGATCGGACTATTCATGCCCCTATAGGCCGCCCACCAGGATAGCCAGTTTGCCTGAGGAGACCGCTGTACCCTCTACAATGAAGTCTACTCATCTGTCGCCCCTCCCTTCCAGACACTATGTATGATTCTTTTCCCACGCAATCTTCAACCGGACAGCCTCTCCCCGGTCTTGCTGCAAGCATCCTTGTGTGTGTACTCGTTCAATCCCAACAACGCGCGCCCATACGCTCGCAACCAGAGCGAGCCTCGTCGGCCAGATAAAGCCAGTCTCAATCGGCCCGGACACAGTGCCCTCATCAGCATGTCGCGATACGGCAACAGGAAATCCGTCACCAGACCAGTGCTCTCGTTCTCCGTGTCTCTGGTGGCCTGGCTGGCTCTTCTGCAAGTGCTGCTGGCGACAGCTGTTCTGTTCCCGGTCGGAGAGGCGGCGGCCCATGACGGCCTCGATGAAAACGAGACGACTCCTGTCAGTTTGGAGAAGCGCAACTTCCTGGTCGACAGTCGCCTAGGCAAGAGGACCAGCTATCTCTTGGCACCTCGGTATCACCAGAACAAGCGCAACTTCCTGGTGGACAGTCGTCTTGGAAAGAGAAACTTCCTTATTGACAGTCGACTTGGAAAACGAGACGAGAGGGAGGAATACGAGAACGAGGAGGACTTTTATGCCGGCGGCCTCCTTCCTGAGAGCAGGCGGCCAAGAAAGCGCAACTTCCTGCTCGACAGTCGACTGGGCAAGTGAAGTGGACGGACGCTTCCAGGGTCACGAGGGCGCGGGTAGAGAAAGGCTTGAGAAGGAGAACATCTGATGCGTGAGTCAAAGATTTGTGAAACATTCCGTTGGAACGTGAAGGAATTTGGACCCCATTTTTATCATTATCGCGCCACAGACTCATTTACTTTAAACAGAATTGGCGTGAAAGAGTGAAAATTTACAACTTGATAAATCTTACAAACACCCTACTTTCATATATGAACCACGGAAGGAGAGGGTAGGTAAATACCAATTCCCTTTTTTACGCTTTATAATTCTGACATCATGATTTAAATGCGCTTGTTCCTTTTATCTAAATAATCCTATTATTTACAATAACGTTTTATATAATAATACATTTTCAGTCCTCCAATTCAATAAAAAATATCCAAAAGTGTCTTGATTTTATAAACTATCGCACAGAAAAATTATCGCGTTTGCCGTACCTTGAGTATGTCTAAAGCCATTTATCATACACCATTTTTGGTACAATTTTTATAATCCCCCTTCACAACAAATAATTCGTATAATGGCTCTTGGAAATTAGCTATAGAAGCCATGAAGGCGGAATCTTGAGCTTTTATTTTTTCTTCAGAATATGTCCGAAAGTTGATATCCTCGAAATTAAACAGGCTAAGGGAGAATAAAAGAATTAGGTTTGCAAACAAAAATTTGACCTCAGCTTGCATAAGGGGGTGAGGAAATGATAATTGAAGTTTTTCAAAGTGATATGAGTGAGCCTCTCGTTTCCATTGAATTTCACGCAGCACTACTTCTAAAAAGATATTCTCATTTAAGGTAAGATATTATTGGAGGTCTCTAAAATGAGCAGCCGTGTGAATAATAGGCATAACTCATATTAAAACTACTCATGGAAGATCAGATGGGAATTCATTTAATCCCTTTATTGATAAACGAGATAGATTTTTTTATAGTCTACAGCCATATGGGATATGTTCACCCCATTTCGTTTAAGGTGATAAAAGACTGGTAGTTGAATTTTCCCACAATCAAATCATGATACTCCGGTATTAACGGCATCCACTCCTCCCAAGAACGATGGTGACAGGGTAGTGAACTTATCCTCAATCTATCTTACTTTCGAAACGGTAGATCTTCTGAAGAAGGGGTAACATTTTTCACTCGGTAACGAAGAAGGATTTTAGAAAATATCCCTGTTGAAGTTATCAACATCTTGGAGAAATAGGCAGTAGAGACCAAACGGGAGATTGAAACGGAATTAATCTAGAGAATTCTTTCCAGTCAAGAGCCAATGAAGTGGAGTGGATTAATGAAGATACGTATAAAATTACAAATGAATGGTCAACTAGTTTTTCAAGCGGATAAGGGAGGAGCGACGGTAATAATTGACAGGCAATAGTATACGGAGAAAGTGTATTGTATCCTAAGCGACTGGAACACTTATTACATACTAAGAAAGGATCCAACAATGAAAAAAAACAGAATACTCAAGAAAATGCATAACAACGGAGACTTTGGCAGATGATAAATTCGTTAATAGAAAATGAAGTGAAACCACCGAGACCCTACGGACTACCGAAGAAAGAAAAGGAAGGAAAAGCGCTTCGGACAAATGACAAACAACGAGAATCGAACAGCACACAAACTAGCAAAATTTATATGCTTGAAGCTTAAGAGAGTAAACGATAGACTCTTGAACACCGTAAAGAATTCATATGAATTTTCTCAACAGATCTAAAATATTGAAGTGACAGGGACAGAAATGTTAATAAGTTTTGACGTACAATCCATATACGCAAACATCTCAGACATGAAGGCATTTGCCGCCCTGCTGGAGGCCTGGGAACGAGAGGAGGATATCATGGATTAAGAGCGAATACAGAAGGAGTCGTTAACACGACCAATCAACCTGCAAGTAGGTGCCACATATTTTGCATTCAATATGAGCAAATATTTGGACTACCGATGGTATCTCCACTCTCACATCTTTTGGAAAATGTATAAATGGACAGATTGGAGAAGGAATTCGAGAAGTCACCGCTGAAACCAAGAGTGCTTATGCGATAACTGGACCACTAATTCGCACTTGGGTCGCATGGTAAAAAAATGTGAGATGAATTCCTCAATTCTATAGATAAAATTGACGGAAGAATTTAATTCACAACGGAGGGGGAGGAGGATAAACGGCTTTCTTTCCTGAATGTTAAGGTTATTTGCTCCAACGGAATGTTGGAATAATCCTCAATTTACTGTCTTATCCCAACTAAAGACTGAAGATAGGAAAAATGAAAAGTATGCTCATCAGAATCTGAAGACTAACGGACACTGAGTTCTGGAACAATGAGTTGTAGAAACCCACTCGGATTTGCCTTAGTAACGGGTACACCAGAGAATTTATAGAAAGAAATATAAGGCCCATAAAGAGCAGATTTAGGCAAGGATGTTATGAAAATGGAATCAGAAATCGGGATATGCCTCCCCTCCCGTAAACTGAGCCAGAAATTGCGACAGTTGCTAAGACGATGGAATATCAGGGTAATAAAAAAAGAAAAGGCAACATTGTTCACAAGCCTGCCGACGCAACACGAAAAGGTTGACAAACTGGATTGCTCGTGAGTCTATAGCATCAAATGCGGCAACTGTGAACAAAATTATATTGATGAAACAGGAAGAAAAATTAGCCTACAGATCAAGGAACACCAAATACTCTACAGAAACATGGACACTAAAAGATGTGAAATAGCGGAATAGATCACTCGAACGGGACACGAAATCGAGCGGAAATCGACAGAAAGGCTGGCTGCATATGGTAGAGATACAGGAAAGCGTAAGATACGAAAAGCCATTGCTATCCTGACTGAAAGAAACCTAATAAACTGGAGACTTGAAGAAGGCAGGATTAACGCAAACTTTGCTAATCGCCTACGTGCTAGCAAAGGCTTGAGGCAGAGTGTAGAGCATAACGCCTTGAGTGGCACGGAAACGGTGGCAGCGATGGCGTTAAATCGGCGGACAAGAGAAGGATCCTACGGAGCAAGAGGCAACTCTGATAGGACCCGAAGGGACAGGATAGTAGATTAAACCGCAGCCTTGGATCAACATTCCCGGCACAGTGGGGGAGATGAGGAAACGAGCGGGGAGTGTAAATATATTTCAACTAGGTCCAGATAAACAAGTAAGAAATTGTGTTATGAAGGTGTGATACGAAGAGGGAGGGATACCACAAGTGGTTAGCAGACAATTGGTCTAAGGATCGACTACACTTGCCTCTTTGTCGAGTTGTAGTGTGGTGTTAATATTGGCGGCGAAACGTCTGACATTGTACCACGTCCACGGTCCGACTCTAGAAATGATCATGCATACTATGGACTCCTGATAAGGTGCGTTCCTATAAGTCTTCCTACCAAATGACCAAGTTGCGAAACAAGGTCAACCAACATCTTTTCACTATTTTGGATTGTTTCGAATCTATCGATACATTCTTTTTGCTCAATAAAAAGGATATCTTAATGAGATACCAATGAGCTTATCTTGTTTTAAACTAGGTATGCCATAGAAAGATTTTAAGGCCTCTTGATAAATATGTAAGATCATTCTTGACTGTGTCACTTAGCTTTATAGCATGATTAAATCCATATTTATTCTTTACTGCAGACCGACCCTAAATTCAGGCTCTTTCGTCCATAGCAGAAGAAAATATCAAGCTATATGCGTTGCGAGGAGATCAAATTAAGATTTCGCTTCCATAAATTCTTGGAATATAATGTTAAGGAGATTACTTTAACACTTTCCTAGCACTTTCATATGAAAATAAAAAGTCCCCCCAATAATACTTTGAATTATTTGCAATATAACAAATTTACCATTGTGGATGTAAAAGTTTTAAAACATAATATACACAAATTAAGTAAGTAAATATACTATATAAGTAAGTTTTAAGTCAAATGTATATGCATATGCTAATATACATATATACTTGAACTGTGAATATAGGAGAGATGAGAAGAGACTCTTTGATTGCAATATCGCTATTAACGTACTAATGCATTAGCTATGCATTAATCTGGTATGTAAGAAAGCAATGCAACTTTCAAGGAGATTACATCTCATTCTATGATTCTTCCATCACTTTCGGCTCTGGTGGCCAACCTAGCCTCAGAAAGACTTCTAACCAGTCCATCTATAGTTATCCATTTCATTTAGCGGCCTCCTGTATCTTCCATAAGAACTCCATTCCTATGCGGCAGGACTTAACTCTCCTATGAATATAGTTTGAATGCATCAGCACCTTTAGTTTTCCGAGCTTAGTCTGATGGCGATTCTCACATTCACTTTTTATGCATTGTACGCCTCACTACTTGCTTTCACTTGGCAAGACAGGTTGACTCTTGATGGTTAGGAAGGCAGAACTGTGATAGATCTGAAGAAAATTATTTGTAAAAAATTCCAGGTTGTTCGGTTCTCCTATTCTGGTCGTATTTTAGTCTGAGTTAGCATAGCAGCCATTGTGAGTAGGAACTTGATAATAGCCTGCTGTTTATCTCTGACTATACTTTGTGTAAACTTGTTTGAGCATACTTATAAGCAGGATAAAGTTCCATCAAAAAAGAGAGAAACCAAGTCCATCTTATCAATATATAACTGTTGTGTGCGTTCACTTCGGGCTGATATATAAGTATTATTGGGCTTTTGGTACATTCCCAAATTTCCTCACAAACTTATTAGAAT